AAAAATGAGCATCGGCGTGGCAAATGACTGAGCTGTCTGTAAAGCAGCCTAGAAAACGAGTAGGATCGTTGTAAGAGTGAATTTTGACTAAACATAACAACATTCATGAACGTGGAACGTCGTCAAAAGGTGCATTCAGTTTGAAAAACACATTAGGAGCTGGAATATCGAAAACTTTTCACGTAGGTTTTTTGTTGTATCGAGATGCTACTTGAGCATCAACTGTTACCTACTGAAGTATTAGCATCGTCTAGAAAAACTAGAAATATTTTGATTTGATATTCGAGTAGATACTTCGTATTTCGCGTATGAGCATCTACTGAGTTTTATTTATATCAACCATTGTCAAAAAATTGATCGAACGTTGTTTCGACAGAACTTCCTTCGCACCAAAAGTATAATGAAACATATTCAGCATTTTCGAGTTGAGTCTTTTCTTCGCACAATTTTGTGATGACCTAATCAACATTTACGATCAACACGTATACCACCTTGGATTGGTGCAGTGTAAGACTAAAAATAACTGTACTGTTATACCAAAATTATCTGCTGAAATCGAGTGAGCCGCTCCATCAATTTTTGGGGGGAATAAATAAATATTCTTAACAATTTACCATGCTTACAATAACTTTAGAACGTCTGCAAGATCTTAAAGTATTCATTTCTGCAACTCTTGAGTTATTCTCTAAAATAAATTGACTGATCCATACATTTTTTTGAGTCACTGTAAAAGCAAATCTAAAAAATATGAATGCGATAAATTACGAAAATATACTGATGATATTTTGCACATTTTAGATAGGATTTATTCGGCAAAATCTTGAGATGACATCATCAAGTTTTTAGGCTTGATAAACAGATATATTTTTATTAAAAACCTACCATGTCAAACAGTAACCTCAAAACGTCTGCAATATTTCAAAATTCAGTTTTGCAATTCTTGATTCAATCAATAAAATAAATTGACTCAATGATTAATTTTTTTGAGACACCCCCTATAAGCAAAACTAAAAAATATGAATGGAATGATAAATCACAAGTATAGTCTCATCCTATTTTGAACATTTTAGATTGGATTCATTTGGCAAAATTTTGGGCTGACGTCATCAATTTTTTGGAGCGGATAAGTAAATATATTTTGAATAAAAATTTATTATGCTTATCATATGTTTAAAACATCTGCAAGATTTCAAAGCATTCGGTTTTGCAGATTCAAAATTAAATTGTAGGTGAAACGAAGTTCACGGGGTCAGCTAGTAAACATATATATTGCATTCTAAATGCATACGCATTAAAGTATGACTCTGGTAGACTATATGAATATGGTGTGTTGACTATTGTATTGTTTAAAAACAGCATATTTGCTATTTTTAAACACTGACACTCAATATCGTACAAATTTACAAACTGTACTCGTGAATACATGTAAGATTGTCGGTATTTCATTAAAAATAGTTAATAAGGTAAAAGATCTTAGAGTCATCTTCCGTTATAAACTTACCATAAGAATCATTATAATTACATTTTTAAAAAAACTATGAACATGTGGGGTTTTGTGTAGCAACACTGTCATATGTTATCTTATCAGAGAATTTTTTAAAAATTCTCTTTTGTTCATTAGTACCAACCCAACTTGAATATTGTTCATCGATCTAGTAGTCACACTGTAGTTCTGATATTGATCTTTTAGAAAGGGTTCAGAAGGAATTCCTTCGCTGCATTGAGTTTAAAGTAGGTACGGGAAATTATGAAATACGAGAGCAATTTTGTATATTAGCAACCAAGCTATGATAATGACGTCACAAAACAAATGGCTTGGGTATCAAATAACTGCTAGTGTAGTAAGTACTTTGACGTAATTTGGTACGGATCCACAACATTGGGCATTGTTGGCAGTATTTTTTGTTTAGAAAAATGAGTGAACTTAACTTAGGAGCATCGCGCGGATATAAAGTTCCTCACTAAAGAGGGAAATGGTGCGAAAGTTATCCATGAAAAGATTATCCAAGTGTACGGTACTAACGGCTCATCTTGTTTTCAAGTAAAATATTGGTCGAAACAATTTCGATGGGGTCGAGACTCGATTCAGGACGACCTAAAGATCAGAAAGACCGGTTGAAGCAAGAACTGAGGAAACCATGGGACTTGTTGAAGATTTGCTGTTTTGTGATCGACGAATGAAAACCCCAATGCTTGCTAAAGAAGCTGGAGTGTTTGAAAGTGTAATGTTCTAGACAATATACGAAAATTTGGGCATGAAAAAAGTGTGTGTTCGTTGGATGGTGTTCCACGACAATTCCAGGTTCCACAGGGCTCGCCATTATCGCAAACCGTGGCTTCACAGAATTACCGCATCCCTCCTACAGCCCGGATTTAGCACCATGCTACTTCTTCTTGAAGTACATCGAAAAAAATACCTCAGGAGTCCCAAATTTGCCTCAGATGACGACCTGAAAAGCGCAGTAGAGTCGTTTTTTGAAGCGCAGACATTTTTTTTTTTATGAAATGAAACAGCTGGAGAAACGCTGGTCTAATGTATTAGTATAGATGAGAGTTAGGTAGAGAAATAATTTGTTTTGAAGCTTTGTGAGGTTTCTTTCATAGTTAGGTAGATAATATTAAAAATTGCCCTCGTAGTTAGAGAAATTATATATGAGTTTCATTTACAAAAAAAAATGTCAATCTTCGAAAGTAGGTAGTTTAAGTTCTTATATCTAGGTATAATTAATATTCCTACGTGCATTCTTATATGAATTTTGCATGATCTATTAATTTATTTATTGTTTTAGGTCGGCATTTAATTATTGCATTTAATTTGTGCACTTTTGTTTTTATTTGTAAAATTGAAGAATTCCGTAAATAAATAAACTAAACATACAACCCTAATAGAAGTGGTACCAGTTCAAATAATTTACATACTAATAATAATAATTGATAACGCTTGGATTGGGAAAATAAAATTGCTGCTCCTTAGACGCTTGAGATGGAATCGTTACAGTAAAGGCTGGCGCTGACTCATGTCTGTAGCCCTATATGGTAAAGGCACTATGGAGAGAACCTCAAGTGGCCTTTCGACAAAGTGGAGTCTACTTCGGAGCGACCGTTGAAGATTTTAGTCGTGGACCAGGTTATTTGTTCTCCCTCCAGCCGCCACATGATGGATAACTACATCGAAAATGTGTTGGGGCTCAAAAAAAATCAATCAACGACCACGAAAACTGCGGTAGCCCCGTACTTGGAACCTATTCGCGTTTAGCTAGGTTAAACATTGAGGTCTTATAGTAGAATAGGCACTTACGTATTTGTTTTCGGTTCCAATTCAAAATAAATAACGAATATTGTCAATAAATTAGTGTATTTGCATAAAAAAATCCAGGTAATACTCTTTTTTTCTGGAGTCTTCCCCAAAAAAAGGCCTCAAAAAGTTGGCTCACCTTTTTTACTTCTCGCTGCAAAACCGTGCACCTATGTGACGATGATCTTACTCGCAGTATTGCGCTTATCTTCTATAGTCTATACATTAAAACAAATAGGTATTATATGTAGGTAATATTCTATAATTTTTTTTGTGTTTGTCTACGACATGCAACCTTTTTTAATAACACTATACATTTTTTTAGATATTTTTGTAGAGCTTATTCTTCTGAGTTCATTAATATATCATACTTTAATCTTCCATATTCCGCCACTGTCTATGATTCGAACGCATTATGTTACGAAAACACACTTTCTTAATTTGTTTATATTCGGTCTGGAATGCACTTTTCGTCTACACATGATAGGAAGCGGATTAACAATTGGTTCAAAAATATGAATGTATTGATAAAGGGCAACACTATGCCTGTATTTCTGGTGAGTTTTCTCATTTGAAAATGTGCCGGTCAACATTATTTCACGAAGGACATATATGTCAGTTCCAACACATGCAGTTTAATCAATAAAAAAATGTAGATAATAGCAGTAACAGTGTAAGAAACAAAAAACCCTATGCCATATTCGAAAGTGCGAAAGGAACTCCGCTTATACTAGCATAAGAGTTTGTTGTACAATTTCAATTTTTTGCGAACTTTTGAATGCCTCTGGGAAAATCTCGAGGGTCGATTCAAAAAGAACAAGTACAGGAGTATGTTATTTTATAAAATTTGAATCCTACGTACCATGAAAAATTTTGATGGAATGTCATCACCAACGCGCGGAATTGTATCTCATACGCTAGATCCAGTGCTGTCGCGGCAATAGTTTGATTACAAATATATTTTTCTTTTGGAGTATATCAACATAATATAACATTTCAAGATCACAAATCTGTGGTCCTGTGGTTGAAAAATTAAAAAGGGCATCGAGAATTATTATTTGAAGGAATATAATAGGAGTAATATAGAAGTAGTTTTTTAACAAGGTGTAAAGACTTTTAGCGACGCACTGCCTACGACCTTGTGGACCAGATCAAAGCGTCCCCGCTACTCGCCGTAAAACACACATTACTTCAACAGGGGGATTGCAGCGTGAGATAGAATCCCGCGTACTGGTCATCACATTTTTGGTAGGGATCATTAGGCAAATTTTGGTTAGTGTTTTACCATCTACACGATATTAACATACATATAAAATTTGACAACAAACGGTCCGTCAGATAGACAGACAGACTGACAGACCGACAGACGGAAACGGGAGACTTATTTTTTCTTACTCTTGATTACAGTTATGATCGGGAAGTGAAAAGAAAACTTTTGCATAAAATTAGCTAAAACGATTCGAGGCGAGACAAGCTCTATCTAAATAAATTGAGACCATTTTTTTTAAATGAACATTCATTATCAACTCGATTAGGTTTTACTCCTTTAAAAACAATTTAGAAATAAAAGTAAAAATTAAAAAAACATAAATATTCTTATCGGATTCCACTTTTGTGTCACGCCACATTTTATAATTATTATCAATTGCTTGCTCAGTGTGTCAACGTTATTCCTTCACCTGATTCCACTTGAAAAAAACAAATAAGCGCTATATGTTATATATTATACAAGACTATATAGATGAATTTTAACGAATTTTTAACGGTCAGTAAATAGTTCAACAAAAACTAGCAGCAATAAGTAACTGAAATTTACTCTTTACGACATGGAATAAAATTAGAATGTATTACGAACGCCACCGACAACACGATTGATAGACCTAAAACCATATTTAAGGACATGAATGCTATGGAAACACTGTTTGTTGGTCCGTCAAACTGTTCATTAAAAATACGTGAATTTGTCATGAAAAATATTCAGGGTAAGTATAAAATTATAATATGTGACGAATTTTAGTTCCCCTTATTTTTCAGAACAATATAACTATTATGTTCATGACCTTGGAGGTAAGTCGAACAAGTACAGTGTCAGTTAAAAAATATTAACTTTTAGATCCCCGTGTTAAAAACTGGTATATGCTTGCTACACCGATACCAACTGTGATTATTATAATAATTTATTTGTTTCTGATTTATAAATTTTTACCACAGTTAATGAGACAAAGAAAGCAGTACAAACTGACTACTTTGGTACGCTTTTATAACTTATTTCAAATAATTTCTTGTACATTATTGGTATATCAGGTAAAATATATTTAAGCGAGCGTCTTTTTTTCGATGTGACTTTTATCTCTTCAGCTGGCTACACCATTGTCAAATCCCTCGTATGTATGGAAATGTGAAAGGTTTGAATATTCTAGAAATCCACTAGCACTGAAAAGAGTCTCACTGAGTTATTACTTTTACTTAATAAAAGTTGCTGAAATGGTCGAAACAGTGTTCTTCATGTTGAGAAAAAAAAACAATCAGGTGTCTAGTTTGCATGTGTATCACCATGTGACAACATTAATAACTGCGTGGATTTCTGGCAAATATTTTTCAGGTGAGATACTTATATACAAATACCAAAATTTTATTTTTGTTAATATTAGGAGGTATGGTGGCCTTTTGTATGATATTGAATTCATTTGTTCATATTTTGATGTATAGTTATTACTTTCTATCATCGTTGGGACTTCACTGGCAGAAATATATCGCAAAATGGAAACCAGCAATTACCATGTTGCAAATGGTAAAAAGATTTATGTCTTATATTTTTGAAAACATTTTGTGTTTTAGATTCAATTAATCACACTGGTTGTCCATGCATCGCAAGTGCTCTACTTTGATGATTGTAACTTACCACGCATATTCTTTTATTTTTATGCTTTGAATGTTACTATTATCTTTTTTATGTTTAAAAACTTCTTTAAAGAAAATTATTTCCAAAACACCCTGAAAAAGGTTTCGTGATAAAAAGGTTTGTTGGGCTATGTCAAGTGAGATCGCTATATTATATAGGCTCATGTATACAAGTAGGTACACAGTTTTAAATAAACGAATTGTTTATGTAATGTTTATTGTTTATTTTTCTTTAATTAATACTTGAAACATACATATATCTTGTGCGAAGTTTAATCCTTTGATCTTTGCTGAAATAAATCAGTTCTCATTGTTTTGACGGTCAACATCAAAAAACTTTTTCTGTAATATATGTGTAAAACAAGGACCGCGGAACCTTAGTAGATAAAGATACACAGCGGTTACATTATTCCAAAAACATTTTGTCGATATTTGCACTTATCATTTAATATCATAATATCCGTTTCATATGTACCTCATAACATTTTATTAGAGTTACTAATGCTGCATCCAATGAGACGGAAAATGGGTAACTGATAAGATTTATTAATTGAGTACGTATTCTATAAGACAGTAGTTCTCAAACTGTGGAGCACGGCCTTCTAGGGGGCGTCCTAGTTTGACATGGGGATGAGTAACACAAAGCATCGGTTATGTTTTTTTATTGATTTATTAAAATATAATTAAAACGAAAATATTAAAATAAAACATTCCTCGGGCATAGATCTAATGCCTAATATGTGTTTGCTTTAAAGTACGCAGCCTTCCCAGGTTTCTATGAATTTTTTTCTACTTAAAATCTCTTTCTATATTTACATTTTAGAGCAGCCACAGTGGAAAACAAATAATTTCGCAAAAGTAAGAAGTGGGAAACCGGCGCAGTATCCGAAGAGGCTTTGCTTTAAACAGAGAATAAAATACAGTATAATTGCAAGACAATTCAGTCCAGAAACTTGTGAAAAAATTAATAACAAAATTTAGTTCTTCTGGGCCACTTGAAGAAAGATTTATTATCAGTTCATCTTCTTGTTTTAGGGTTAGGCCGATTGGTGTACCTAATGTTAAATGAATTCCTTACTCATTTCCATTCACACAATGTAATCTCTTTTTATGTGAAAAATTAGTACACAAGTTCTTTAAATGACCCTTTAATGCCTCAAAAAATAAGTGCACTAATTTTTCAAATATGTGTACTAAGTAGAAGAGTTTCATTAAAAATAACTTGTTATAGAATTGTTCCGCATAGTTATGATCGTTTCATTTTTCAAAGCATTCGGTTGTACAGATTCAAAATTAAATTACAAAATGTTATACAATTGTGATTTTTTTTAATCTGGATTTCTCGGGTAAAATCTCAGATATATCACAGATTCTTAAACTACAGCAGTAGGACTATGTTATTTTATACAATTTAAAACCCATTTACTACGTACAATTTTGAGGTTACGTCATCAGATTGTTGGTGGGGATGATTAGACAAACTCTGACTAGCGTTTTACTATCTACTTACATGATATTCGTAATACTCATATAAAGTTTGACAACAATCGGTCGGATAGTTGCGAAAGATTATCTTTACAAAAATTGACATAGACGGCGGACGGACGGATGGACGGATAGACAGACGTAAACGGGAGGCCTATGTTTTTGTACTCTAGGGGTCATAACACATCGAGAAAATGTGAAAGTAGGCAATCAGTACAATATTTCTTTAGCTTACGCTCGGGAAATAAGAAAAAACAAACGGCCAAGTTTGGCACCGAGCGTGCGACTGCAGGTCTGCGTGCCCATATCTAAGCCACTCTCAGGCTTACATCCCGTGTTAGTGGTAAAATGTTATTTATTATACTTTGTAAATTCTTTTGAGAAAGTTTGGACGTTTAGGGAAAAAACTCAAAACCAATTCGTACATCACAAGTAAAGATGTTCGTGAATAAAAAATTAGTCGAAAGTTGCTTCGACAGAACTTCCCTCGCACCTAAAGTACAACGAAACATATCCAGCATTTACGAAAGATTATAAAGTTTGATGTTGCAAATTTTATTTTTTTATGAGAACCCAATAAGCTGAAATAAACATATGTATGTAATCTTAAAGAAAGTGTAAAGAAGCGTGCTACGCGTATGTTTCAAATAAGTTTTTACTTTACACAATTTTGTGATGACGTCATCAATATTTTTGCAAGGACACGTATATCAATTTGGATTGGTGCAGTATAATACTAAAAATAACAGTTGTGTATAGATTCATTAATTGACTGATTTAACTGATTTATTAAACAAAATAAATTGACTCATTTAAATTTTTGTTATATCATTTTTAGTTTGTATAGATCCGTTGTAAGATTTTTATTCCTTTATTCATTTTAACCACCTGTATAAGCAAATCTAAAAAATATTACTGCAATGATAAATCACAAGTAAAAAATCATCATATTTTGCACATTTTAGGTACAATTTATTCGGCAAAATTTTGAGAAGATGTCCTCAATTTTTTGGGGGGCGAATAAAAAGTATATGTATTTTGATTACCATGCTTACGATAATTTCAAAACGTCTAAAGCATTTGGTTTTGCAGTTCCTAATTTATTAATCAATAAAATATCACACCTTTAAAACATATGCAAGATTCCAAAGCATTCGATTTTGCAGATTCAAAATTAAGTTGTAAAATTTTGTTTTATAATTTTAATTTTTTTTTCTAAAAATCTGGACGCTTCGGGTAAAAACTCAACACGGAATCATAAACTACAGGACTACGTTATTTTATGCAATTTAAAACCTATTTACTATGCACAATTTTGAGGTGACGTCATCATATTAGTGGTACAGATGATTAGACAAAGTTTTACCATCTACATGATATTCATAATACGCATATAAAATTTAATAACAATCGGTGCAGTAGTTTTAGAGATGACCTGTCTAATAAAAATCCGAACAGACGGCAGATTCGTACTCTAGGGGTTATGAAAGGTCGAGAAAACGTAAAAGTAGAGAGTCGGTCAACGGACTCGATTACAATACTTCGCTTACGCTTGGGAAACGATTTGTTTTAATTGTTTTAAAATAGGTTATATACAGCGTGTTACTGAAAGGTACGCACAAAATAAAATCGCCAATTGGTCTCGAACTATGTGTGCTAAAAGTAAAAAAATTGGTCGAAAGTTATTTCGACAGGACTTCCCTCGTTCCTGAAGTGCAGTGCCATAAATCCCACTTCTTTGAAAAGTTAAAGAATTTGATTTTGCAAATTTGTATTCAATAAAACAAATACAAAAGTATGCTATTTTATAAAATTATTATATTATATTCACACATTTGAAAAAAATCTTCCGAATGAGTTTTTACAATTCAGGATTTATTTAATTTTGCTACAGAAAATCTCCCATCCACCTGTAGTTCAACCTTAGTGAACTGATCTGCTTCTTTACGTCACTTCCTTCTGTTTTACGGTTTATCTCTTTAAATATCATTGATGTAGGTAGTTTCTTAAAAGTTATAACTCTGTTCTCTTGTAACGTCAAAGGCAATATTTATTTAGTCAGTGGGCAGTAAGAAAAGTTCAAAATGGTGAAAAGAAGAGGGTTTCTAAACAATAAAAATAAAATAAAAGAAATAGAAATACAGCTGATATAAAAAAAAGCAGGACAAATGACAGTGACATGAACGTCATATTCCCGTTGCTTTTCATTGATCTATGAGAACCCGATTTGTTCATCTTTTCCCGTTTCTTGTGAAACCAGCTGTAGGAGTGGAACAGAAGATTCAGCAAGAAGAAATTCATTTACTTACGGTACAATACAAATCTGATACAATTTTGAGAATATAAAAAATTTTAAGTTGTGGCGATTCCAAACTATTGTTAAAAAGGGCCAAGAGGTATAAAGGCAATAAGAAGTATAAAAGTAAAATTAAGAATTTCGTTAAGTAGGTACAGTCATGCTCACATAAATCCCGTACAATGACAATCTGAATTTCAATCCATACTATGTATTGATTTTGACATAACGTAAAAATGGGGTTGTAAAGGATTTATGTTAGCATAACTGTACCTATTCAGTCTTGGTCATTTGGTTTTCAGAGAGAAAAAAAAAATGTAAATTCAATATTTTAGGATGAAACATACAACGTCAATTCGAAAACTGAATTCTGAGCGATGATCAAATAGATCTATAAATTGTCGATTATAAAGGAGGAAGTTCTATTGAATATGACAAAGAATCGGTATCTTCACACAAAAAGTTGTTGATCCTATTCCTGATTTTAAACTGAAGTAAAATGAACAGTAGAAGCAATGCGAACAGTTTACACGAACGTATTTTCCGTATATGTACAGTTTGATTTGAGAATGAAAAAACTATTCGCTTAATGGTCTATATGGCGGCACAATAACACGTCGGTAAGCAGAGAAAGATAAGTGGTCTCGTGGTCTAGTGGTTAGGATGCTTGCCCGGAGAGCGAGCGGCGTGAGGTCGAATCCCACCGAGGCACAACATTTTTCTCTGCTTACCTACAGTCTAAATTTCTGTACCGATCAAAAGCACTTATTGGTGACCTATTCAAAACGATTTGCTGCCATTTTAAGCGCTATGCTCTTAAGCAAATGCGACCTTCTAGATTTCCACCAGGGAGGAAATACGAATTTATATTTTAAAGGTTTTGTATAAGGAAATGTGTTTCGTTACAAGCCGATTTTCGTACCAAATCCATATCAGCATGAACTTTTTCAGGAAAATAACATTATGATAGTAAATATCGACAACTGTTACACATTATTAGTATTGTTGGGTGTTTTGCATTTTTTAGTCGTGGGGCTTCTCGTGAATAACCTGCATTTTTTTTAACATTAAGTAAATGATATTGACATTGGACAGCAAATATACCTATAAAATACTGCTTTGATTCAAGGGTGTGCATTAAAAATATAAACAGGTAGCCAACAAAACTATTGTAAATTTTTATTAGAAAATTAGTGATCAATTAATAAAAACTAATACAAAATCAGTCTTATGTCGTTTTTGCTATACCAAGTGCTATATACTAAACAAATTGATTTTCAACCTATTCATGTGCTACAAAATTAGTTAACGTATTAATGGATCACAAGGCATAATACACTAAAAATGAGTATTAATCAAATGAGTATAACCGTTAAGTACAACTACACTAAATATAAATAAATCAGTTTAACGTAAGTATATAATTGTTAAATCTATACAAAACAATGATGTTAGTTAATACTTTAACAATTACGATTTTTGTTGTAATTACAAAATTAAGCAAAAGAATTCTTTTACCCTAACAAGTGTTAACATTCCGGTAGAATCCTGCAAGAAGAATATTCCAAGGGTTTTGCATTTTTGTCACAGAATCGGTCAGGAAGCGCCATCTCTTGTCCATCGACACACATTACACTACGGCGTTTCATTGGAGTTTCATTCTGAAAACAGGTTTATTTATCGTTATTTTGTAGAAAATTATTTATATCTCAGTAAGTTGTTGCAGCAACTCACTGTTTGGCACTGAACTGGTTTTTAAACCGAATGGTGGCGCTACTACATAATAAAAATAATTACCTACAAAAACAGCTGAAAAAAAATTGTATCGAGGATGGTTGTCTATAAATACTCTAAACAAAAGCTCACCGAGTAAAATAAATTAGTACACACCATTACTATTTATCATGTAATTACCTTTTTCAAAAACTGTTTTTCTAATGTACCTAATTAACAATTAATTTTCATGAGAGTTTTTTAGTTTTTCATACTATCTATTGGCCTTAAAAATGTATTAAAAAACTAGACAATTTACGGATGAGATGACTTTCCTATTTCTGTACAAATTATCTTGCTCAATACTTAACAATCTACAAAAAATAACTTAGCTGTAAGTTTTTATTATAGCTGCAATCGCTGAGTATGTTACTTTAGTTTAAAAAAGAGGCAACACACAAAATGAGAAAAACTGTTTAAGAATACACTACTAATAGCAAATATTGGATTATAGGAGCTATATAGTAAAAGATATAGGAGGAGTACTTTTTTGTGATCTTTTTGCATGAAGAGAAAAACTAACGCAATCAGACAAATTCTTAATTTAACGATCATCAAAGAAGTACTGTAACTTTTAGAAGTATGGTTTCCAAAATAGGATTGAATATTTTTTTTTACACAATTAACTAATTTATATCATTAATGCTTTCATAGATATCAACTGTGGAAAATGATAATTTTATCAAAATGTACTTACACTACTATAGGATTGTAAGATAGGTTTGTACTTAACATGTGTTTCTCTTCATATTTTTTATATTTGGGGTGTAAAAGCATGCAGTTAAGAGTTTCATGCTAATTTGGAGCTCGTAAAAATATATATTTTCCAGAAACTGGGAAATAGCCTATGTCCTTTCACACGCCTACTAATGGCCTGCGGTGCAGGGGTGCAGGTGGTCCAGCGACTTACACTTGAGCGAAACAAATCTGAGATTATCGCAGTCGCAGGCGAAAACAGAAACCACATGTGTGACCCAAAAAAAATAGACCAGATTGGGGTTGATTGGTTGGCTGTGTTTCTTTCGAGAGGGTGTAACTAAAAAGGCCTGGATAAAGATTTCAGTTTTAAAACCGACGCGTACCGATTAAGACGAATTTAACAGTTCCGTGTTACGGTTGATCGAAAAGTGTTGAGGTGAGTGTTATCACTGAGTTATCGGTTCTTGAGGGTGTGGTGATGTGAGCGAGATTTCACAAAGGTGTAATCCGTACTGCTAATCATCATAAAATCTAATTGGTTAATCTGCAATAATTCGGTGAGTCCGTTCCTTATCATTACTGCTGTATTTGACCTGATTATTGATAAGTGGTACCGAGTCAGTTGTCGAATAATGTTAACAGAACTTGAGAGAAATTGAGAATATAATAATTGATGAAATGGGCCTTGACATGTCGAGCTAATTTAATTAGCTGTCCACCTTTCTGTGTTACCTAGCTGGCAACTCGGGGTAGTATCTGGGGCCGGTGAGGGCGCGTATTTTTCCCCCTTGCCATTGCACAGTCCGGTACTACCCGTTTTTGTGTGAACTATCTGTTTCTGCGGATAGCCTCCCGTTTGTGGCGGGGGAAGTGTCTGTTTGTGGCGGACAGAGTTGTCAGTCGGACATCTCGCGCGCCTTCCCTTGATGTCCCTGCACTCTTTGATACTACACCTGGGATAGTAACTGGAGCGGGGGCGTCGTGCGCCGTTTTCCCTTCGCCCCATTGCACGACTCAGTACTAGTCGCCATTGTCGATAGCGAGGGTGAGTACTTCGCGCGCTATTCCCTTAGTACTCATTGCACACTCCGTATCAGACGATAGAGACCGTTTTGACTCCAACCTCTTGGACAGAGCTCATTGCAGAATAATTTGTGAAGTAAATCAGTCTTATGCAGATCATAATAAAATGGTACTGAACTTGTTGATTATCAATTAATTAAAAAGACACGGACTCGCTGGTAATAAATATCACTGAAGTAGCAGATTGCATCTGGCAATCTTGGGGATCGATGGCTCACACCCCCCTTTGCATTTTTGCAGGTCGAGTAATTGTTGATAAAACCGATTCACCTCGACACCGGCCTAACTGACAAGGAAATAATTGTGATTATCCAGATATCATCTCTGACGACTTAAAAGTGAGTTTATGATTTAATTATGTTCAATCCTGACATTTTAGTAAAGTTAGAAATGAAAAAAAAGGTAACGCCCATTTGTTAATGTTTAAAAAAAAAAATGTTTCCATCGTAATAATAATTTTTCCTCTCCTACAGGATAAAAATTTCTGAAAAAAAAGGACAATTTTGTTATCTTTCAGGGGCGGCCGGTCCCGGGGGGTACAAGGGCACGTGCCCTCCCAAAATTACAACGGCTCAAACACATTGGATATAGCAAAATAGTAATTTTCAATATTAAAAAATTAACCGGAAATTTGTAGCATTATTATCAAAACTAATTTTTTTTTTATCTCGCTCCACTTGTATAAAATGTATCAAAACTTACTTCCACTTACATCTAAAGGTATGTGACTTGGATATATGATATGTTATTTCCATTGAAATGCTGATAAAATCCGGGCACAGAGGCCGAATCATAGCCGATTTAGATGTTTTGTTTACACCGTTGCCATGGAAACTACACGTCGTAGCCGCCTGATATGCGCCTGATACAACTCGACTGGGGTCCGTTCCGACCGTGCTCGGGAGGATTGAGTTACTATCGCGGGTTTTAATTTTCATTCTGCGCGAACACGTATGATAAATATTCTTGGATAATCTTCTCGGTAATACAGACATTCGGAAACAACTACACACCGCTTGTATTAATAATATTCGGGCACATAACGCAAGGGTCGACAAAAATCGCCATATATTACGCCGATTGATAATGTGCATACAATTTTGTGGAGTGTTTGAATTTGCTTTACGTGGACATGACGAAAGTAGGGATTCACAAAATCCAGGTATATTTCGAAGTCTGATTGATTTTATGGCTGAATTGGACTTTATCAGATCATTTGAAAGAAGCATCGGTTTTTAAAGGAACGCCTAAAACTATCCAAAATTAACTTTTAGATGCCATGAACGTAAAATTTTGACCGAAAGCGAAAAGGTATGTGGAGAAATCCTTTTTTATTTTTATTGAATGTATTTTTGTATTTATTTCTGTCACGCAATTTCGTCTATTAATATTGGTAATAACAACCTGTTTTATATCTTCATATTTAACTCATCGATCAAATTGTGTCCCCCCATTTCAAAAGGTCACGAGCCGCCACTGTTATCTTTTAACACAATTCTTCGAATTATTAACCATAAGCCATAGAATTGAAAGCTTTTTTATAATGGATTGCGATAAAGACTAGGACATAATGTTTCAAAAAAATAATGAATAAAGATTACGAATACCTGCTAAAGGGTACTGCAATGTAGACAAAACCTAATGTCAAATCTGATAATTTGGATTGGTGATCATACAGAAATATACCTAAATGATTTGATGGGTTTAATTTTTTTGAAGGAAATAGTCACAGTAATATTTTTAGTTAAGATTCTTTCATTTAATGATATTTCAGTGACTGATCAGTAAAATTGCTCCGTGATATCTATCATACAACTGGGTAATGAAATAAAACGGAACCTCCCGGAAGAAAATGTCGATACCTACTTCATAAACAAAATAACTAAATTCAACGTGCAACTAGTTCCATACGAAAAAAGTGTATTCGTAATAACAGTCTGTAATTCAAATTCAGAATAAAATAATTTATTTCGCATATGTACCAAATATATATTTTTTTATTATAACACTGTTAAGTGGTTTTAAATGACGGTACAATCACACAAATCAAGGAGCAAGAAATCAGATTGCTTGATAGAATAAAAGTATACCTGCATACTGGAAATTGATCACGCAAAAGTTGTCAAGGGAACAAGAATAGAAGGAATATTGCCAATGTAGGTAATTCATCATAATCGATTAAAGAACCACTGTGCACAGGTATACGCCATTTCATGGACGAAGTGTATTTCGTCACCTTGAATTGAAAGTTTCACACTACATCTAGAACAAGGGTCACTCACATCTGATGTACAGGGTTTGTTTACTATTCTCTCTACTTTCGTTGGTTACAAAAACATGCTTCTATGGCAAAAACTCGCTTCAAGTATCTTAAAATCTAAAGCATGCATGTGTAGAGTAAAATTATTTATATCAGAGAATTTCAAATATTATAATATAAGCTCTAGAACTCAACTGAACGTAAGTGAGATTTCGGTTTTTTTACAATTCCAGAATATTAGTATTCGACTTCGGATTTTTGAAACCCAATAACAACGGTTAAACGAGATTTAATTAGGTTCTTAGTAGTCTATCTATAAACTGATAGATTAGAGATTTTTGAATTTCGTCCCGTAGTTAAAGTTTGCAAATACTTTTACTCTAGCAGTTTTGTAAATTTAGTTTCAGAAGTTTATTTAAGCTTTTAAATTTTAAGCTTAAGGCTGAAATTTTTTCTTAATCAAAATGATAAGAAGTCCAGAAATTAATTCACCTTTGTTTTTTAGTAAAACTGGACATTATGTATATATGTAATTGTATAAATGAAAGTGACTCGTGTATAACTACATATTCATATACTAGTATATAAATATTCGTTTGGAACAGAAATACGACTTTAAAAAGTGTTTCGACATTTCGCCTACTTTCATAAGGGAAATTCAGAAAAGCAGGAACATCGAGTTCGAAGTTTGTTCCAGAATTTCTTGGTTTTTTTTTCTCCGTCATTTGCTGAAGATGTCCCTTATGAGCGAAACGTCGAAAGTCTTTTCAAATTTGACACTTCTCAAACCCGGCAAACCTCTTTCTATTATTGCCGTCAGTTCAGGTATTTGTTTGACCTTTATTCATACTTGTTGCATATTTAGTATTAAATATATACCTACTCTTTTAATTACATTTTTGACGCTCTTGTATTCCGCATATTATATGTGAATATTGTTATATTATTAAGGATTATTTATCTTCTGACAGGGAAATACTCACGGTCTTAGCACACGTAACGGGACATGACTGCCATGGTCCAACCCACCAATGTGTGGGACAAGGATCATCGTTGCACGTTTTTGCCCATTCTTCTGGTCGTTCGGAACTTTCACACATAAGTTCATCTACTATTCTCGAAGCCCCATCAACGACGGAAGGAACTTCACCTACTGTCGATTCCTGACAAAGAGGCTTACGATCTTGCACACCGCCACCACATGTAGCTGAACACTGAGACCAATCGCCCATGATCCACGAGTATTTTACTTGCTGCGTGGTTTGACGCTTCCAAATTGAATACTTGTATTCCACACCAGGATTGTGTATTTTCCCTCGGAAAATTACCTGGGAAGTACAAAGAGCGAGGAAATGAGATTTCGATTTCTCGCGGACGATAATAAAATGATACAAAAGCGAAACGAGTTTGGAGATGCAGTTTGAGTAAGTAGGGGAATGTTTGGACAAATTTGCAATGTTGTAATAGTAATGAATGAGAAAAAAATATGAGAAAAAAATATTATAGGATAAATGCTAGGAGCTACTATAAAATAGTCCTTCTAATTGATTGTTTATTAAAAAGTAAGATGTATATATACGCGGTTGACCTATTTATAAACAAAAATAAAGTGCCATTAATGTTGATAATAAATAATAATAATTTATTAATGTTAAACAGAAATACATCTAGTAGTAACAATTCAAGCAAAAACATTCTCAATTAGTTAAAGACAAATAAAAAATAATGCTATTTTTGTAAAGTGCTGACTTTTTAGTTCTTGAACCAAAGAATGTAAAAATAAACTACGCAACTATATCTGAACCGAAGAAGTTTATTATAGGGACAATGCAGTCAGATATTTATTATATGTAGAAGGAAAATTACAAAGTTGCTATTGTACATGTCTATCATATGTATGTATTTCCACATCGATTTTGCCGCAGCTTTCGCCATACCGGACGAAATGCATTTTTATTTTTCACTATTTACGTTGTTATGCAGAAATTTGCATAGATTCAGATTCACAAAATATTAGATTTTTCATATTTTTGCGTAAATTACGTTAATCTTCTTATTTTACTGGAACACTGAACAATCCTTTTTCAATAATATCCACTGTCGCAAATAAAATTTTCGACAATTTTACATGCACTGTGGATATTACTATTGAAAATTCTTCACATTTTGGTAAATTCCTTTCAAGAGGAAAACATTAGGATTCATTTTAAGATCTACCAGAGACTTTTCAAAATTTGAGACAACTAGACATCTATTTAAAGCACTAGTGCGTAGCAAATTAGAATATGCAAGTATTATTTGGAACCCTGTAACAAAAATGAATATAGACTCTATAGAGAGAGTCCAACGACGCTTATTAAAGTGCCTGGCGTTTCGCTTAGATGGTCTATATCCGCAAAGAGGCATTGCACAAAAAAACCTCCTGCATCGGTTTGATATGCTGCCGCTGGAGTAACGCAAAAAAATTGTGGGATTGTTATTCCTAAAATCCTTATTAAGTGGAGCAATTAATAGTCCTCAATTATTATTGACACAAATTAATTACAAAGCACAAACATATAGATCTAGAGGTAAAGATTTATTTTATATTGAGAAGAGTAGAACTAATTTTTTAATGAATTCTCCTTTATCTTGGACGCAGGTGATATACAATGAAATGGTGAAACACATCCCAGATATCGACGTTCATTTTGACAATAAGAATATCTTGAAAAGAAAATTTATGGATTATATTATTATTTTAAAAACCATTAATGTTGATGGGTGTAATTTAACGGATTAAGTTCTAATTAATGATGAATTTTAGTTAGTATTAAGTATATCTTCATATTCTCATATGACACCGTAATTGGGTTAGCGCCTGTTGGTGTTCAACTTTAATAATAATAATAATAATAATAAAAAAAGGAAGTCAGTACTTTCAAACTTTTTGTAAAGTAAAATACATGGGACCAAAAAACTACAGACAAGGCAACGGCTAATAAACGCTTGCAATTGCTCCGTGAAATCTATTGTTATATGAGTCACAATATACGTCACCATCACTATAACATACACTTGTACCTATTATCGACATATTGGACATTATAATAAAATACGTATGATTATTATTAATTAACAGAAAATGGAATAAATATTAAAATAACGGCAGATGTGTGTATCTCACACTAAAGCGAAACTGCTGCTGTACATATAGTTAACAGAAATATTTTAGTAGGATAAAATACAAATGTGCCTGTTTCCAGCTACCCTCTGTGTTTTATAGGCGTCCTTATAATCTCATAACCTACTGAACAAATTATTCAGAAAATTTGAAAGTAAATTCTTATAAAGATATTAAGTAGGTATACAAGACAGTAAAATAATTTTAGACAAAGTTTCCCTATTCCGTCTTTCAAAAAGTTTCATGTCCTCTCAACATTAATTAAACTGTATAAAGCTATATGTATAGATAGCTATATGTATATCAATTTTAGGTTATGTTGCAGGATTGCATATTCATCCTCCTATGGATTGATTTGGACTTTTAAAAAGTGAACATAAGATTATGACATTTGCATTAAAATTTTTGACGAAATTATTTTGAAAAGGTCAATAACGTAAATTTTCTGTTCTTTAAACTTGTTACAACTTATTACAATTCCTTAACATGAAGACAGTGCCAAATGTCAATGGCAATACCTTTGAAATGACCTAAATCTCGATCAGATTTTATATTCATTTTTTAAAAGTCCAAGCCTACCCATTACAACCAGGTATGTAATCAACTTAACATTAATTATCCTATGTTCATAAAAAGAAACCTCACGGTATAAAAATAATTTTAAACCCTTCTTTTTTGTTCACGCTTTCGAGACTTCCTTCGTCTCATCCTCAGGAACGCTGTAAAACTCTTTATTGAGAACTCTGAGGATGAGACGAAGGAAGTCTCGAAAGCTTGAACAAAAAAGAAGGGTTTAATTACTTTTACATATTGACTGCAATCCTGCAACATAACCTAAAATTTGTTACTACCAATCAGTCGATGACCTCCGTATTATATGTACCTATATATAGCTTTATACAATCAAAATCTTTAGTTCCATCTTTGGTTGTAAGAAAAAAAATTGGTTGAAAGTTGTTTCGACCGAACCTCTCTCGCACCTCAAGTACAATGAATCATATCCAGCATTTTCGAAAAAGTACAAAATTTGATGTTGCGAATTTTATTTTTTTTATAAGAACTCACATAAGTTGAAAGAAAGTTACGTATATGTATAATCTCAAAGTGAATGTAAAGAAGCGTGCTACGCGTATGTTCCAAATGAGTTTTTACTTTACACAATTTTGTGATGACGTCATCAACATTGATCTGACTGATCACATTTTGCATATTTTAGATAGGCTTTATTTGGTAAAATCTTGAGGTGATGTCATAAATCTTTTGAGGAGGATAAGCAAATACATTTTGATCAAAAATTTACCATGCTTATGATAACTTTAAAACATATCGAAGATTTCAGAGCATTCGATTTTGCAGTTCCTGATTAAATCAAAAAACTAAATTCACGCATTCATTAATTTTTTTGTCACCTTGCATAAATGAATCCAAAAAATATGAATGGAATGATAAATCACACTTATAGACTCATCATATTCTGGACATTTTAGATAGGATTTATTCGGCACAATTTTGAAGGGACGTCATTACATTATTGATGGGGATGATTTGACAAAGTTTGGTTAGCGTTTTACCATGTATATGATATTCATAATACACGTATAAAATTTTAGTACAATCCGTCCAGTAGTTTCGGAGATCGTCTCATCATAAAAATCCGGACAGACGACAGAGAGACAGACATACAGACACACAGAGAGAGAGACGGAAACGGGAAACCTATTTAAAATTTTCAAAAGCGTTGAAATGAAATTACGAAACGATTGGCCTGTGAACAAACGGAGAAGTATTTTAACCGCTACACATTTAGAAACAAGATTCGAGTTTTGGAGACTTTTTTTAGAAAATTGGCATAAGTCTAATTACTGTTTGTCGAATGTTAAAGGCTAACAAGTTCATGAATTACGAGAGAGTGACTTTCCACAAACATTAGCATTTTGCAATTTGATTCGGAAACAGCTTGCCAGATGATCCTAATTTTATCACCAACATTTTAATTAATAATGAGACCAAATTTTCCATCAATAACAATGTAAACAAACATAACTTACACTATTACGGACATCACCTTTTATTTTAAATGTAATACGTGACAGTGATACTTTGTTTTGAAAATGTTTTGACGTTTTTAAAACCACAGACTTCGTGGATGTGTGATATTTTTAAAATTCTAATGTGAATCAAGGAATAAATGATAATGTATTTCGGGTTGCCACTAACCACAAATTATATATTCGTCATTTAAGCCGAATCACTTTTTTTTTGTAATAAAAAAAACTAAGTTTACCATGCGACGCTGACGCCATATATGCATCACAGTTTCTCCTTTTAAGCTAAATGAGGTTTATCTGGGACCCCTGTATATCGAAAAAAAAGTGGACTTTCAACATTTCTATAAAAAAGGAATTTTTTGTTGTATTAGTAATTGATGCAAACAAAAAACTGGTAGAAGGTTATTTCGACACAACTTTTTCCTTCACCCTTGAAATACAGCCCGACAAATTTCGCTGATAAAATTTGATTTTGCGATTTTCGTTTTGTGATACCATCTATAAAATAAAAACGAGTTGCGTAATTATACTAAACTCACTTGACATCACCTTGTAAAACTTTTATGACTTAAGCTTAGCCAAAGCACCCTTATAAGTCAAACTGGCTATTGTATAACTTAACTCAGTTCACAGCTCCATTATGGCAACAATGGACAGTAGTAATCCTTGCGGTTCGGGTTCATAAAGCTTACAATAGCCAGTTTGACTTATAAGGGTGGTTTGGCGTAAGCCGCTTAAGTCATAAAAGTTTTACAAGGTGTATGCCAAGTGAGTTTAGTGTAATACCCCCGCAAACCCGGCGCTCTCCGCACAAGTGTGGACAATTTGAAATATACTTATTTAAAGACGGGAGAAAAATGTAGATATTCTCAATTTCTCAGTACATGCTTAACTTCGGATGTTTATACGTATTTTATATTTATACCTCGAAAAATTCGTCAATTATAGCACTTTCAGATTACAGCCGTTAAAAGAAAATAAAATTAATCAACCACACTCAGTTCTTTCTTTCCCAGAAACACAATTTTAACAACATCTAAGTATTAGGCAAAACTGTAGGATAAATTTTGATTAGCGATTTACAAATAAACTTAAAATATTTGCAAAATTTACAACA